TTTAGTAGTGCATCAGATCGACACTATTGAGCACCCACTTATTTGGTGGTATACCGAGTGATAATATGTAGCTTTATCTACATTACATTGGTTTGGACAACTGAAAAATTTGCTAGGAAACAATTTTATTACAAACTATGTTGTTAACTTTTCAAAGATGATCAGTTTAGATTGCTTTAACTTGAAGGACACTTATATTTTGTATCACTTTTATAGCAAACACATGACTCATCATTGCCCAAATCAATTGCCCAAATCAATTCAAACATCTCATTATAATTCATCCCATGGCAGAAAATGTATTTATCCATTTAGTAAAATGGGTAACACAAGAGCTTCAGGTTTAATTTGAAATATTAACTTCATAAGAATAAACTTGACCTGTTTGTTCAAGTAAGTAAAAACACTAAATATGTACCGAAATTGTCTTTTGACTCTCGCAGGGAGTCAAATTTTGATTTGCTTGAATACAAGCAAGTCGAGCCATCTTAATTTGCAGTGCTGACAGGAAAGAAGAATTTGCTTGAGGCAAAATCGTGAAGTACAACTTTTCCTTTGCATCCTTTTACCTCATGTTTGTAACATTTCCCCTGTTGTTATTTTTACGCATCTGGATGCTCAGCAAGGCCTACTTACCATAGTAATTGAAAGAAGTACTCTGTCAATAGTCAGAATTGAATGAGAGATAGGTTGTTGGGAATATTCTGGGTGAATGTGTCTTTTCTACTTTGACTCTATTTACGACTGACTACAGTAACTCAGCAGAAAGTTAGAGGGTAGAATACATACATTGGTTTATGGGTTTAACTGAAAGTATCCCCAACCATTACATTACAGACAATTCATATACACGTCTTAAAAATCTTCTTGACAATTTGTGACAAATTTTCTAAATGTTTTTCCAAAAATAGTTGGTTCTTGTAAGTGATGTTGGTCATGACTGATTACCAAATTATGGTGGGTAAAGATGCCACATGCAATAAAAAAAGTGTCTAATTATGTTTGTTTCAGAGCTTAAGAAATGTTAAGAAGAGAAGTTACAACTGCATTAATAGGATTTTAATTTTTATTCAAAATGGAAAACTTATGTACTTCTACACAGAGTTAAGCTTATAGATATTTTCATTTAGAGAAAAACTGTTCATTTTATTAGCAGATATCAAGTGCCCTTTTGAAAATTGAGACTGATTTCTAAATAAAAAAAATGACTTTTTTGGAGGTTTAATTATTTTTAACATATTGCTTCTTTACTAAAAAGAAAGATATAATCCTTCAAGGTCATTCAATAGTAGTAATTGTTAAAGTGAGGGATATAGTTTACATTACCGAGTTTATTTTCTAAGGGTAGTGAATAACTCCTGACAACTACTGATATCATGTCAAGTGGTCCTTTAGTGACCAAAAATGCACAGTTGTAAGATTTCAAGTGTTACTTGTATTGAAAACCAGATTGCATTAAAGGATGGACAATTATGATAAAGGATCTGAGATAATTATTCTAACTTTTGGAACTATACTTTCACTCATTGATAAAGTAAGTAAACAATGTGGAATAACAAAGTTTAAGTGTGTCAGAAAATACATACATATATTTAAAAGTAGGGAAAATTTTATCAATTATTAAAGATGGAAAAAATAGGACTACATCAAATAGTTAAACAAATGTGGGGTACTTTATGGGAAAAAAGAAGTATGTACTACTTTTCCAATTGAGAACATTTTCCAATTGAGAACAAGAGGCATGTACTACTTTAAACATTTTCCAATTGACAGATTATTATTCAATGAGAAACCCGACTCAGATGAAGTTACAATAAAAGTACTTTTTAAATATCTAGTTTCTAATAGAGTTAGAGCTTTATTGATTGAGATGTATGGAACTGCCACATATCTCTGTGCTATACTTTAGGTACTTTCATAATAAATGGTAAAGTGAGGGAAAGGGTGGAAAAGACAAATCTCTACATCTCTTCCAGAACTTTGAGTGCACTATAAATTAAATATTTAAAATATTTTTGCAATAGTTAGCTTTCAATTATGAACACTCTCACCTCTATTGCCTTATATATGCATTGACTTTGGGAATTTTTGTACATCAAAACTATAATTACCTGTATTTGGGCAGAATGACGTAGATTATGCCAGCTATTGTGGTTGAAGCTGTAGTAACTTACAGTACATTGAAATTACAGACTAAGCTTCTGAATATTGGTAATTCACTATTGTTGTGCACCCTTAAACAACTCTTAAGGTAATGTAAAGTAAATTAAATTCTACATATTAAATTTAACGTGTGTGTGCCTCATGGAAACTTTTATTTTATAGAAAAATATTGACTATCTTATTATTTCTTTGGCTCACCTACTTTAAGGAGATGGCTACTTAGGGTACTTTTAAATCCAATACTATGTGAAAATGTGATCATGCTATATTCTTAATGTAATGGTATCTCTATGGTCATATACAATTTACCTATCACTTTATCACATGAGCAATTTAACTTTTGGGTAAATCTTCCAAGAGAGCATCTAGACAGAGTGAAATGAAAGCTGAAGCAACAGTCAAATCAAAAACTGCTTTCATCTCAAATCCATGTTTTTCAGAAAAGATATTCAGATCCAGTTATCTGGCAAATGGTCTCAAACATACATTTCAATTTCAATATTAAAAGTAGGATATTAAACATCTCAGAAAATATTGGGATTATTGAAGCAAATTCTACCCTGGACTTGGAGTAAGCATGATGAACAGATTAATGAGGTAGAAGGGACTAGAACTTTGGGAAAGTGCAACCTTGTTATCTTAATATTTTTGTAGCTTAGAAAGAGAATGCTTTGCAGCTCATATTTTGATCTTTAAATGTTAAGGAATTCAAATAAAAACTATAAACCTGAAACTCTTAAAAGACAAATTCTGTTTTGAGAGAGATGGCCTCCTCTAGTAAACTTTTAAGAAATTCAAAGTATCTAAAAGGATGCACAAAGATCTCTAATGTGCTATGCTTTTCAGAGGATGTTATGTATAAAATATGTGAGGGAGAACATGAAAGCAAAAGTAAGTTCAGAAGAGGAACACAACCAGGAGGACAGTGTGTCAGAAAAATCAAAGAATAAGTGGAGGTGCAAAGGCTAAAAAATAATGGAAGTGGTGCCTATCCTTCTGTCTCTCTCTCTCACACACACAGACACACTTATACAACACATATACAAATACATACATGTATACATGCATATATATAATATATACACACATATTCACATAATATTCAAGTATGTATACATATATACACACATATACATACACATATGTATATATACATACACACAGATTGAGAGATTAACCATATGTAGATACACACATGCACATATGCAATAATGAAATCATTTCATAGCATGCCAAAAATATAATAAAAGATACATCCTCTGGGATTAAAAAAAAAGTTTAAAAGCAAACAAAAAATAAATGGCAATAACTAATCACATTGAATTTTGTTTTGGTCTTTTTCTTCCTAAAAAGAATAACCTCAATCTGAACAAAGAAATTCAAAGCAATGGAAACTCAACAATTAAACTCAAAGTAGACTAGGAGATAAGATATCTGTTTCAAACATCACTGCCAAGGTAATTTATAGGTCAGTGCATTGATAACTTTTGCCAATGATAGAAAAGATGCCAGAGAGCCAGACCCTGGCATTAAAAAAATAAAAATAAAAAAAGTAAAATGATTCTGAAGACTGCATCTCTGAGCTTAAGGTAAATTCTAAACAAAATCTTGGAAATTAGAAAATGACTTTATGTTTCTTTGTTTTTCAATGTAAATGGATTGAGGTTTCTTAAAACAGAAATGAATATTATTATTTGTAATGAGAGCACTAGGAGCAATTTTCATATTTTTGAAAAGGTTTCTAGAGTGATAAATTAGAATGACAGGAATATATGTTGATTTTAGAAAAGTGTTTATATAATTCCACATGACATTCTCTAGACAAAATATAAAAAGGTAGGCTGAGTAACATTTTTAAAGGGCAGTAAATCTTATAATTGTTATTGATTAGGATGAAGGCCTCTGGTAATGTTTTCCAGGGTCATATTCTGTTACATATACATGACATGGATAAAAAGGAAACCAATATTTACTGTGTGCTTAGTTTATGTTATCTCAATTCCACCTCTACAAGGAGCTACAATGTAAAATTGCTACCTTTAAAAACCTACGAGGTAAAATTATTCCTATTCACAGATGTAGAAACTGAGTTTCAAGAAGGTTAAGTAAATTTCCTCATATCTGGAGGCTAGTAATGCAGAACTGGGTGTCAAAATCAAGTCTGCATGAACCTTCTGTTTTGTCTCCCATGAAGACAAAAGGCATGAATATAAAATTTGTTGAAACACAAAGTTGGGAAGGTGTAATAAGACATGGAATGACAGAAGCAAGATCTAGAAAGTTTGGGATCATGAATCAAAAGAAACAGGATAAAATTATCCTAAAATTAATATTAAATCCTACAAGAAACTTGTCCAAATCAGCTGAATTTGGACAAAACGGAAAATCATTTTATCAGTAGATCCAATAATAAATATTATAAAGTTTAAGTGTGAGCTCTGTTACTCAGTAGTATGGTACCATTACTCTATTGATGGATGCATTGCCAAGGAAAAGGAAGAGAATTACACACTGTCTCCTTCAATTGTTATATGACACTGGATGTACTGTTTTCAGTGTTAATCATGGTATCATGTTCTTTGCCATAAACTTGTTGACAAATTGGCAAATATTGACAGGAAGTATGCTATTAGAGCATCTAAAAATATAGGTGCTTTCCCTACTGCATCATATATTATAATTTGCAAACGTTTGTTTCATTTATATACCATTATTATACAGAAAGGGTTTTCTATGATAGCATTATAAAAATTCCCAGAGAATACCGACCCAGTAAGAAATGGAATGTTCACAACTCATAGTATAGCTATATGAAAGAAATAGATCTAAACGACACATTGGTTTCCAAATTATATTTTCATACCTGGAAAATATCTACTTTATAAATAGCACAAGGTTACAGTTTTCAAAGAGTAGGAAAAAGTTCTTGCATTAACATATTTTATGTATATTTTTGTATCCACATTTGTGATTGCCACTAAAATGTGTATTTTTAAAAAATGTGTATTTTCTGAATTTCATTGTGCTTTTACAAGACACATTTTTCTTTGATGTTCATAAATGCTGAAAAGGCTCCCCTAAGGAGAATTTTAAGTGTAAGTAAGGTTTTTGGTCAGTTTAAATTATACAATTCTGAGGCATTATTTAAGGTACATACTGTATTTTTTGTTTGAAATCTGTCAGCATTTTATTTGTATGGCAATTAAATGACTCAACCACTCATGTCTCAAATGCCAGTCTTTGTCAATTGTTATTTTTAACAAAGAAAATTATATACATATATGTGTTATATATGTATATAAATATATAAACTTACAGCAAAAATGTTTAAAAATAGCAAATAGATTGAGTATAGTTAAACCTAATAATTGTATTTTTGTTTCTATGACTCTGAGACAAGATTACTAGACCCTTATTCAAAGTTTCTAAATATAGGAAATAGAACATCGGACCATGCTAAAAAAATGGTTCAGATTTTCTTTTGAAAAAGAAGAGCTATTTTTCCTCTTGATCCCTAATGAAGAAGCTTTATTTGTCAAGGGGTTTTCCTTAGAAAATTGACCCAGTGTCAACTGTAAAGAAAGCACAGAAGATCCTAGGATGATTGACGAACTTATCCAAACACAGGTTTAGTAAAGAGAGGATATTAAGATAAAATGTGAAATGACCTCTCTGAGTCACATTTGTTTTCATAATTTCCTAGCAAACATCCAACTTCACTGCTACCCTCAGCAATCGTTTCTGAAACATTTTTAAGACTTTGATAGACACCAACAGCTGATCTTCAGAAAGTCATCCCCAGAAGAATATGTAAAATGTTACAACTCATTTCAGGGAGTCTGCCTAGCTCTTGATATTATATATCTTTGGCATACAGTTGTGTACCTTTTATCATTGACAGTGAAGAAAATAATGCCATTTGTAACTTCTGAGATATACACACAATGCTATCAACTAGCCAGTTAAAAAAGATAAGAAAAATAAAGAAAATAGAACATTTTTAGGGGTCTGGCAAGTATCCTCTAAATCAAGGTAAAGGTAATAGTTTAGTGGCAGTGTTCACATTTTCCTATGACTGTTAAGATTTAGATGCCTTACAAAATATTAATATTTAGACTTCTATGAAAGGTTGATTTTTCTTCTAACACTTTAGTAGCTGGATACAAAGAAAATATACAACAGCTGTTTATAAATGAAGAAAAAATTTCCATTTTTTATCCGAGTTTCTCATTTATTTGTAGAGAACGAATAAAATAAAAATATCCTAGTGTTGTTTGGGCCACAGCATACTAGTAAATCTTAAGGACTGTGTTTCAGTATGAAAAGGAAGAGCAGGAAGATTTTCTCATTCCTTCTTACCAGCAAAAGTCTAGCCTTCACACACACACCAACACACACACACTCACAAACACACAGAGTCATCTATATAAACATGTACTTGAGTTTCTTGAACATATATGAAGCACCTTCCATTTCCTTTTATAATAAATCCCTGTTTTTGCTGTTCATTAAAAAACAAAAAGGATGAAACAAGCTCAGGACATTCTGAAAACCAATGTCTTTAGGACACACTAAGGTGTCCTGAATTACTTTAATGGACACATTATAAAGACACACTCTCCAATCCCTATTAGGAAAAGTTTAGTCAAGTTTGCTTACTATTTGGGTGCATATACCAAAAAAGTATCGTTTAGGACATTATTTAGGATAATATTATTTATGCAAGAATTGTACCACCTATTTCCAGATGGTATAACTTATTATCTGAGAGTCACATAGCAAATAGAACACAGAAAGCATAAACTGTGTCAGGAGAAATCATACGAGAAAAAGAGCATTGTCTGGTTATCAGAATATCAGATCTCTCATTCTGGCCTTGCTAGGAAATAGATCTTTGATTCCAGAAAAGTCAATTACTTTCTATGGTCCTTTATAATATACCCATTTAAATTCCAAAAAAAGTATATGATAAATCGCAATAATTTCAATCACATGGATTTTAATACAAAATGTATAAAATCAATTTCCCAAAATTTTCTGCATATACTGAAAATGTCTGTACGAATGAGCTAACTACTATAGGCCTTCCCTAATTTATTCTATTAAATGTGGGTACTTAATGTAACCTGAAAATATTGAGCTAACTATTCTTTTCTTTTTTTTTGCAAAAGGGAAACTAGAAAAAGACTGCTTCCCCCAGAAAATTTATCAACAATAGGTGCTCAATTAAATGTTTTTAAACAATGAACAATGTTCCCTTTCATATAAATGGTCAGGGGAGAGATATTTTTAAGTCTTTTTTTTTCTTTTTCCATAGCCTCACTTACACAAAAAATATGTTGTAAAGACACCACTTCTATGAGGAGGTATTCATTGTAGATGTACAGAAGTCAATGGAAACCTAAGTTTACACACACAAAAAAACCAGATTATCATTCCACCCAACTGTATATTCCCACAGATGCTTAATAAAAGCTATCTGATGATATAATGAATTATCAATTCTTGAGGAAGTATATACAGTTGATGACTAATTTTCAAAAACCATCATCCAACAAACTAATTTGTTGATTTAAAATTTTTCATATTACCCTTTTGACAATCAGTTGAAATTTAAAAACTAAAAGCATTTAAAAATATAAAGGAAAATAGCATTAGCTATAGACTTATATTCAACTTCAGACGTTAAAATAAATACAAGTGTGTATTAAGAATAAAATTATGTCAACAGTGTATAAATGAAAACTACCAAGTAATTAATGTTTCTTTTAACATATCCCATCCATTGTTTTCCCTCCAAATGACAACGGTAGCAAAAAAGGAAACAGGAAGACCTGTTTCAGAAACTGAACATACTGATTTAATTGGCTAAGAAGTCCAAATGCTAATACTCCTAATAATTAGCCATTCCTTTTGTGTTTTGGTGACATATATCCTCATACAATGTATATCAAATGGAATTTTTTGATTCACACCTGACATTTCAAAGTTTCCATTTTTGAATTCTCCTAGTCTTAAGTAAGTAGAACATTGTCTCCTTCGTTTGCTAGGCATAACGTTTTCCCCAACATCTAGTGCTCCATGATGCAAAATATCATTTTGTCGATCTTCTGTTCCAGTATTTACTTTAATTTTTTTAATTATAATTGGATTTTCAAATACAATCACAAAAACATCTCCTGTTGAAGGTGGTTTCCCCCAAAAGTACTCGTCAACACTACTGTAAGCCTTGCTTGCTTCATAATTTTCAAACACATTCATGTTGGTGTACAGACTTGCAGGGGGGTTATCAGGAATGTCAAATGACTCCTCTTCAAAATCATCATCCTTTAGCTTATTCTCTGTCCCTTTGTATGATGAATAATAGCCCATGTGCTGAAAGAGAGATGGTTTAAAACGGATCACATTTTTCTGAGCCAACAGACCCCGGAAATGAGTCAATAGCCAATCACAAGGCATTTCTTGATAAAACATTAATAAAAAATGTGCCAAACGTGGGAGATCATGAGAATGATAGAGTTTACCAATGTAGCCAAGCTTAGAGAATTCAAGAGTTACCCAGTAAGTTCCTTCTAGGGATGCAATGACTTTCTTGATGGCAGTTAAGAAATTTTTTGAACATCGAACATCATCTTCAAGCATTACATAATAGTCAGAAGTATTGGCACAAAAATTAAGCAGAAAAGCATAATCTACATTTTGCTTTGAACGAAATTTGACTCTATCTTCTGGATCATTGTAATTTCTTTTAAGGCCATCCAGGATTGGGTAATACTCCTCTGGGGCATGTATAACCATTAATCTTCCTGCAATAATATGGTGCGCAAATTTCTGTGTAATATCCTGGACCATGGCATCACGCCAGGAAGAATTAAAGTCTGCTAGGTGAACCACCACTGAAATTTCCTTCAGTTCTTCGTAACTGGACTGCTCAAAAATTGACTTAATTGTCTCAAGTAAATAGTTTCCTTTTTTTCGCTTTACTGAAGAAAGTCCAATTGTAAGATACCCTGCAAAAAGAATTCAGAAAGAGTACAAATGTGAACTAGAAATACAGAAAAAGAAAAAGAGAGAAGATATTTATTCCTTAGACTTGCTACTTATTATGTATTAAGTAAATATAGTAAATGACTATGCACAGAACATTTTATGATTAAAGTAATAAGCTAAATATATAAAGGCTGTAAGTGCTTGGTACATAATTTATATTTTCTATGAAAAATAAATAGCATCTTAAGCATAATAATGTATGAGTCCTATTACTGTGAACATTTATTGATGAAATTGTAAAACGAAATGGTTTTAAGTGTTCTGCAGCTTAATTATCCTTATATACGCCCACTAGAGAAGGCAAGTTCCTTTTAAAAATAAAGTAAATAAAATGCTTTTTCTCTTTTGCAAAAAGAGAAGAGTATTCACAGTTAAGGCTGACAAACTAGTTTCAAATGATACAAAATAAAAATAAGGGTAAGTCTTTCAATCATCTTTAAATTTTTTACAGAACACCTCACATATTTTCAGTTTTTTTTTTTTTGCTCTCATTATCTTGTACTAGACTTCATAATTGGACTTCACAATTTTATCCTGAAATGCACTTAGTATATTAATTAGAAAGCAAACAATATTATAAGACACATTCAAAAAACTTTAATGCTACATTGTTCCAAGACACAAGCATCACTTAAAAAAATTTTTGAAACACATTTTATAGTAATGTTGCTTGAATAAATTTTTATTCAGACATTTAAAATCTAAAATTAGGAATTAGATATATTTAGAGAATAAAATAAAACCCTGAGAAAAGACAGCTCGCCTCTGAGAAGGGTTAGAAGTCTTTCTATTGAAAAATTTTTTAAAGCTCATTCTCATATGAATCAGAATTGAATAACATTTCTAAGCCACTATTTAGAAAATGGGGAAATCTATATACAACAAGATCATTGTTTTAATACAGGCACCTGTATAATGTGGTTTGTATGATACTGAAAAAAGTCCCATTCAAAAAAACAATTCTTACTAGTTCATCAGAGAGGTTGTGATTTACACATTTCATTTAAATACCTTGGCTTACAACTCAGAATTCTATTGAAACACAATATGTTATCTAGTACCGTTAAACTTGAAGCCACCAAACTTCATTAATAATAATAGTCAATGCTTATGAAATACTGTCTACATAAGAGGCAGGAGTTTGGGCATTTTATCTGTAATATGCATCTTAAATGTTCAAAATTGTCTTTTGGGGTAGGTTTGCTATTACCATCATTCTGCTTTACAGATGAGGACACTAGGTCATGGTGAGATGATGTGACTCATGCAAAGTGGTACACTTAGTAGGTGATGTTGTGTCAGGATTCAAACTGTCCCACTCTTTTATCCTCTGTGTTACATTGCTTCTCGTAGAAAGCAGTTGGCATGTGTGCCAATAAACATTGGTAAATTTAGCACGGGAAAGGGAAATCAGTAATGTTCAAGCCAAGGTGGTGTAACAGAGATGAAAAATGAATGGCAGTCTTAGACAATTAGAAAGAAGCCTAAGAACAGTAGACATTTCAAATGGTAGAATGAAAGGAAATGAGATCTAAAGAAATCTAAATTAATTTAACAATTTCCTCAACCTAGTGATAACAAATATGCTCACATAAACAAGTCTTAAAAGAGAGGCCAATTTTTGTGGTCTCCACATAATTTATTAAAATCATGATAGCACTATATTTTATTCTAAGATTCATGGTTTTTGCTTTTGTTTTTTTGAAATGGAGTCTCGCTCTGTCGCCCAGGCTGTAACGTAGTTCCACCTCCCAGGTTCAGGCGATTCTGGTGTTTCGGCCTCCTCAGCCTCCCGAGTAGCTGGAATTACAGGTGTACACGATCATGCCCAGCTAATTTTTGTATTTTTAGTAAAGAAGGGGTTTCACTATGTTGGCCAGGCTGGTCTTGAACTCCTGGTCTCAAGTGATTCACTTTCCTTGGCCTCCCAAAGTGCTGGGATTACAGGCATGAGCCACCTAAACCCAGCCTAAGATTTATATTTTACGCATTGAAACATTTAAAAATCAGGCTGCATACTGCAATCAATAGCGTTACAATTAAAATTGGTAGTGCTTATACTTTCTTAGTGGTATGCTAATTAGATAATGGTACTTTTTGTAAGCTATGGTGTGTTAGAAATGTAGTATGTCATTTCTTGGCTCCAAATATATATATATATATTTTTACCAGATTGTAGTGTGTTCAATAGTTTCCTCCAAAAATTCATGTCTACCTGGAATCTCAGAATGTAACTTTATTAGTAAATTTGATCTTTGCAGCTATAATTAGTTAAGGATCTTGAGATGCAATAATTCTGGATTTAGATGTGGACCCTAAAATCAGTAACTTGTGTCTTTATAAAAGAGGAAAAGACACAGAAAGACAAAGAGAAGGCCACTGATGATGGAGGCAGGAATTGGAGTGATGCTGCAAAGCCAAAGATTACCAGAAGCGAAGCCACCAGAAGCTGAAAGAGGTGAGGATTCTCTCTTAGAATTTTTGGAGGGAGGAAGAGGGGCCCTGCCAGCACCTTGATTTCAACCTCTGGCTTCCAGAACCATGAGAGAATACATTGCTCTTTTTTTAAAGCCAGTCACTTTGTGGTAATTCGTTATGGCAGACCTAGGAAACTAAAACACTGAGTTTCATTAATTAAAAAGTTGCGACAAGTCATAAAACCAAACTGTTAGAGGTTAGAAAACGTAGCAATATGAACATAGCAATTTTTAAAAGTTACCTTCTAAATTTTAAAGTAAATTGATTTTTTTCTAGTCACTCTATAACATCCTACAACAAAATCTCAAAAGACGCATGATTAGGCGTTTTATTTAATTTTTTTGTTATTAAGGGTACTGGGTCAGTGAGTATAGTAGTTGGCAATTCATGAAGAAACACTGAAGTTTTCTCCAAATAATTTATTATATGAGTAAAGCCCTTAAGCCTTTTTACTATACATGTGAAACAAATTATTATTATTTTAATGCAAAATATTTTTTGTATTCTTTATTTAAATGTTTAAGGATACTTACGCTTTCTTTGTAAAGGTGTGGCAGCTAGGTAGCGATAGGTGACATTTATGGCTCCTGAGAAATTAGACAAATCCTTAAAAGTATGAACATAGCGTTCTGAATTCAGTTGATGTGTGGATGTTTCCCTTATAAGTTGTTTGTCTCCTTCCTAAATGCCAAGAAAGAGGCAAGAAAAATACATAAATAATAGATGGTCATGGATTAAATAAAGTTTCTTTTTTACACAATAAATGTATGACTATAATATATAGTATGCAGGGTTATATAAATCTCAATTACTGACATCATAAGCTATAGCTCATCATCACTCACCTCATTTTTTACCTGGAGGTTCTGCTCCAGTAGCTCTCTTGCCTATTTTACTGTATATACAATTACACTTGTTTTTCTACAGGACACATTAATAATGGCAATCTATTAAAAAAAAGAATTGCTACATGAAAACTCCCACTGCCATTATGCTACTTTTCAAATTTTTGACAATCATTTAGGGATCTCAAAATTGACAGTAACCTATTTTATAGTTTAATCTAAGGCTAGTTCCTACCATATTGCCTGACTTACTCTTCTTCAAGCACTCTCAGATAAAAAGATCACAGTGTCTCCATGATTATGAAACTATAGGAATGATTAGGAAGATGCAGTAGTGGACATAATATTTGCATTTTGGATACTTTATTAAATAAGTCACTTATGTGGCTACTATCTATCTATTGAGAAGAGCTAGTTATGGGTGATATGGCAGTAATTTTTTTCATATGTCCTAAAGTAACCTCAAATAGGACACATTTGCACCAAATTAAGGTAATGTGTAGAGATCCAGGACTAATATTTCTCATGATAGTTTGTGTGTGTGTGTGTGTGAGAGAGATTCTATTGGATGTAATGCCCAATCCTTTCATATTTTAGATCCACTTTATTTATTTGGTGTTGGATTTTGCATGTCATTAAATCTTCAGGAAGGTTTATAGTCAAGAAAACATATTCATATTCAGATTAAAATATGTCCTTTACCCATTAATTGCCCTTCTTTGATATAAGCTAAATGGTAAATTTTAATTATCTAATCATCATTTGATCAAGCCTTTATTAGTCATACACTATTAGGAAAATGACTGTTTGACTCGTATGTGATTTACTAGAATTGGTAGAATACGTTTGAGAACAACCTAATTAGAAAGAAATGTTTGTCTCTCTCTCTCTCTCTTTTTTTTTTTTCAAAATGTGCACTCTACTATGTGGTTTTATTCATTTATTTTAATCAATTTTTTTTTGAGATGGAGTCTGGATCTGTTGCCCAGGCTGGAGTGCAGTGGCATGATCTCGACTCACTGCAGCCTCCGCCTCCTGGGTTCAAGCCATTCTCCTGCCTCAGTCTCCCAAGTAGCTGGGATTACAGGCACACACCACAATGCCCAGCTAATTTTAGTATTTTTTAGTAGAGACTACGTTTCGTCATGTTGGCCAGGCTGGTCTCAATCTCCTGACCTCAAGTGATCCACTCACCTCGGCCTCCCAAAGTGCTGGGATTGTAGGTGTGAGCCAGTGCACCTGGCCTTATGTGGATTTATTTTATTCAGTATAGAAAGTCAAGCTAGGCATGTGCTAGCTATTAAGACTATAGAGAAAGTAAATGGATTAAATAACTTTGGTCCTGCTATTTTTTTTTTCTGTGGTCAAAATGTTAACTAAAGCCTTGTTCTAAAAAATTAGACAAAGCTCAATATAAGTTTTACAATGAAAACATTCAATACTTCGCATCAATCTCAAGTGCCAGTGAAAAAGATGACTAACTGAAACTTTCAAATCTATGGCCAGACGTGACTATTCTTCGAATGAAAACTGAAAGTAGGGATCTTAACTAGAGGCTTCCAATATGGTCCTTACTAAATCAAGATTCATTCTGAATATCTTTTCTGTATATCCAGTTATGTTTATAAATATAAATTGGGTATTTAATAGTGTATTTCTCTATTTTATACTGCCTCTGATAATTTGGACCAAGAAATACTTTAGTCCTTTATAAAGTTCACAATGTGTAAAAGTGTGACTTTGTGTGGCTTTTACACAATGCCGTGGGTAAAAGCCATAAATTTTCAAAGTACTTGAGATTAAACCTTAGATTCTAAATTACTTAGAAATATACTAATTGACTATCCACTGAATTCTGATTATTTTAAGTTCTTTATACATAAATATTTTCATTGGTGTCTACCTGCAAACCTATAAAACATCATTAAAGTTTAAAATAAACAAATTTAGAACTGCCAAAAAGTAACTAGTGACTCAGTTTAGTATCAATTATTTTAATAGTAATGTAGTGGTGTACATAATTAATAATGCCTGGAAGAAATTTCTATAAAAAGTACAGTACTTACAGCACTAAATTCATTTTACCATTCTGTTCTTAGTTGATGTTACATTCTAAAGTAGGTGCAGGATATTGAATATCTCTTTAAAAATTCTATCCTGAACACATAAAATCTAGAAATTTTGTGTTATAAGATGGAGTGCATTCAGCCTGATTTAAGGACATAACAGAATATAAAAAGACATGGAACTTATATGAAATCACTTTATTAAATTCTCAAGAACGAGCTTTTTTCACTTTTCAGCATAAATAAATAATGCAACTTTTACCTGAGTCAGCCTTGTTGGCTGCTTTCCAGAGGCATCTAACTGAACAGTCAGGGTCTCCCTGGATACCTTCTTTCTGTAACTACTATGCTGTAGTATATTTCTCAGTAATAAGACAAGGCTTTATGACAATCATTTTCTGGAAGGGAATGCAATTCAATGAACTAGCTACAGACTAAATGTATACCCTTGTGGCTACTTTGAAGATGTTCACAGCCAAGAGGCTAAGTTGATTGGGCATGCAGCGTCTCTTCTACTTAGTTTGCCTTGTAACGGTGTTTGTCTCTTACACTAAGCACAGCTTCCTTTTTCACTTAAAGGCACATATATCTCTAATACATAAGCAAATAAGCTAAACTGCTAATATGCCTAGGGTTTCAGGCCACAAATGGATTTTCTAACAAAAAGAGGAGAATAGAATGTGTTAACTAACTCCAGAGACCTTGCTAGTTCTAACTATTCACCTGATATCTCCAAGTTAGAAGTATTATTTCCCAGTGTTTAAAAAGGAAGACAAAAAAGAAAGATCTACTAATGTCTGTGCTTAGCAAATTGCATATTTTTATTAGCAAATTGTGATAATCGGGAAGAAGAAAAATGAGTTCAGATAATTTTATGAAAAAATGAAATAAACACAGGTAAAAGATCAAAAGGGAGATGTGTTAAAAAGAAATTGCATTATATTCTTGGAGGAGGCCAGTTTCCCATGGATATTATTCAATTTTAGAAGAATAATTATAATGCACTTTAATATTAATCATTGAAAAAGTTTTCAATTTATAGTCTTGAAGCAAAATTCAGCTAAAATGCAATTTGGTTAAAAAACATCAGTCAGTAAATAGTAAATTGTTAAATAATAAAAATACTATCATCAAATGTAGAACAAGGGATGAGTGCTGGAATTTAGCAATCATTTTAACTCATTTTTTCCAACTTTTGTAAGTATTTTAAAATAATAACTTTTAAAAGCTAAGAAGCAATCTGTTTTCTGCACCTGGACTGATTTGCAAATTTGAGTAAATATATTCCTAATACAATCAGAGAAATTTCATTGAGAAAGTAGCTTTAGTGGAAGAGCTACTTCATTAAATCATACTATCTACATTTGATGGCTAGGACCAATGTTTAGATAGCACTGTAAAAATTTGCAAAACAGGAAAATAGCATTTTAGTTTCTAATTGACATATACTCTACTACTTCTTACTCATTTTACAGTGAATTTAAACAGGTTCTATTTCAAAAGACACAAGGGCGTTTTGCACATTCAATGGTCCTTTGGGTTTGTTGAAAGTGAAAGATTAAAATTGCACTGGAAACTGCCTTTTAAATTCAATGAGTCATTGAACATAGCAAGCCTCCAACCAATAACATGTGTTTGATTTACAAGATTTTATTTACTTCTACCTGTAGACACAGAATCAAAAATATATTTTTATTATAAAATTGAATCATTAATCAAGAGAATCTCTAGTGAACTTGTGATCTTTCATTATCTTAAGAAAAAAATAGCAAGAACACATGGGCCTTGTTCTGTTGTCCTTATTATATCTCATATAACTAATAGGTTTTAAAAATATTCAAAAAAGCATAACGTTAGTATGTTTCTCCTATTTGCTAAGTTTGCCTAAATGATGCCTACTCAAATCCTGTTTAATCTTTGGTGATTTCAACCATTGTGCATCGAATGTGTAGAGAAACACGAAGGGTCCACAACATCAGAACCGCTATTTGAAGACAAAAAGCCTAGGCAAAGTCAAAATCTAGGATTCTGGCACAATTTCACCATCAAAGAACAGAGCTAAAGGATGCAAGATGTTTTACAGAGGACTTCTTAGGAATATCTGTACCAACCAAAAAATATGGTTGGATCATAGGATATAGCATAGTATCTGGCAAACAATAGTTAATAAATCATCTAAAGTTTTTTTTTTTTTTTTGGAAATACTCTGTCTCTTTTAAGACACTAATTTAAACTCTCAGCATTTTTGCATGTGAAAATCACTTTTTAGTTCCTGTTAGTTGTAAAGGTTTTGATTTCTGAAATATGTAAACTGTAATCAGGTTTTGATTTTCTGAAATCTATAAATATTAATAATAACATACAAATTAGGACAGGTATTTTAGGCTCCATTAAGATAGAAAAAGTGAATAGCAATAATGTCTATATTAATCTTATCAAACATGAAATGATGTGACAATAACAATAAGAAAAAAAGTCCAAACTAGCACATTAATCTTTCATAATTAGTCAGAAAAAGCCCTTTTGCATATTGTCATATTTTCCCTAAAAAAACGTATTCATATGTAATCACCTACCAATATTTGGCATCTCATTCTAACTACTGAATAATTTACACATCAATATCTTTATCTCTTGAGATCTTTTCAGTGGGTATAAATATAAAACAGAGTGGCCATCTAGGTCTATTCAAAATCCAAATAAGATATTATACATTGTAATAAAATATTACTTATACAAATAGCACAATTAAAAAGCATTGTTAATTAGACAATGGAATTTTGAAAATTTCAGTGATAATATAGAAAAGTAGAGGAAGCAAGGAGTAATACTTTCTAAGCAGATTTTGTTCATTCTATACATTTCAAATGGAAAACCCCAAATCTTAATGGTTCCACATAATATTAATTCTGCATAGTGATGATAGCTAACTTATTTGTAATTATATGTACACACTTGGAGCACAAACTAAACAGCATTAAAATATTGGAAAATAATTCAATACAAGTGTAATGTTGATGTATGGTTAATATAAAAAATAGACAATATACATGTTATAATTTTGCTCAAACTAAGTCTTCTCCAATAGCTTGAGACTGAAGTTAGGTTACAGTGGGACTATTTCTTGTTTGACTTATGCCTTATTTTGAAGAAAAGACAATTAACCTCCAAAACTTACCAGAACATAGCTATCTTCAATGTACAAGTTCATAAAAAGGAGAAAAATGACAAGAACTCCCAAGAATGACACTGTAGAACGTTTTCGCAGGCATCTCATTTTATCAAGTATTTCAAAAATATGTTTCATTTGATGAAATTTAAACATTCTCTTCTGTGGAAAAGAGGCACAGAATTACTAGCAGTTGGTTTTGGATGAAAATATTTCTTTATCAGATATATAAAAGTCAGGTCCTTGTAAAATCTTATCTTTCAAATGTTTGAATTAAGATTCTGTTCCCAATTTCAAACATAAGTTTGGCACAGATCATTAATTAATCTGTAAACATAAGATCAATGCAGTGGTTTATATTAATGTGAGTAAATAAAAATTAAAAGCAAGCCTCATAGTTACTGATGAAAAAAAGATGAACTTTGGTCATAACAATGTAAAAAAACAGGCCTCTGATGAGAAACAGTACAAAAGCCCAATAGAAAAACAGTCAAGTCCACTGTCATCAGTGAGGTATAACTGTAAGGTAATATTTACCTCTCCTATTGTAGCATAATGAAAATGAAAAAAAGAAGAATTATGGACCTAATGCTAATCTCAGAATAGAGTCAACTGAAAATATTTAACTGGGAATCTGGGTGGAGTAAAGAAAAGTGACAAAGAAGTTAAGGTTGTGGGGTAAATCCAAACATATGTTTGAAAGCTTCTGGGTTACAATTGCTTTGCTTATTTTTCCAATAATTCTTGTTAAATCAGGGCGAATCCTATAGTATTATATTAACATTTCCTTGATATCTACTAATTAGTAGTTTAGCTGTTTGAAATAATTCATGTACTACACAAAGGCAAAATGAGAGTCAGAACGATTTGTGAAAACCTAATTTAAAAAATTTTACTCTTTTCTATTTGTATTATTTTCCAACCAAAAATTCCTTTACATTATTCACCGTTTTATAAAAAAGTATAAACATATCTGAAGTGCTCGACGAACTAGAAAAATCACAATTTGTCTAAAATCAGCACATTGATAACCTGAAAATAGAGCCACTTAGAGTTGTGTAATGAATCTCCTTGGGTTTATCTTTATGAAGAAGTATTTATGTGTAAGGAAGACTTTAGAAAGTGAAAAATGTTTGTCCCCTATAATCTTAGAACTATGCCTAGAACATAGCTGGCAAATCTTCTCTTCAATGAATTAATGCAAGGGAGAATTCATGGGTCCTTATAAATTATAGTAAAAATATTAAAAATTAGAAGAAAGTCTTAATATATGTGAAGAACAAAATAATTATAAAAAATAAAGAATTATGAAAATGTTATACCTATTACTGTCCATTTTCTTTGATCATATTTTTCTTAAGGATTATTTTTCTTATTAATTTGTAGAAATTGTAAAGATATATATAAATATGCAAACATAGATGCACATAAATGTATATCCTGAGGATTTGGGTGATATATAACATTTCAAATAGTATGAGAACTGGTAAATAATGCTTTGGAGGCAATATCGTAGTTCTGTTATGGGATCTTCAGAGTGTTGCTTTTCTGATCAGAAACCTCTCTGGCTGGTGGCATCCTGCCAAAGTTCTCATCCTCTATCCAGGAAGAATGAGGTATCCAGACAAGTGGAGGGTGAGCAAGATGAAGAGGAGCTTTATTGAGTGTTAGAACTGCTCAGATGAGACCCGCAGTGGGTAGGTCCTCTCTGTCGACAGGTCGACCTGTCAAGTGTTTAGCACTTAGTAGAGAGGGTAGTTCCTCTCTGTTTCTGGTTGATCCATCCTCTTCTCAGCAGACAAGGTAGCCCTTCTCTGCAGGTGACCACCCCATCATCTCTCCATCCTCTCTGCTCTGGCTGAACCTGGGGCTTTTATGGGCCTCAGAGGGGAGGAAGCACATGTCAACTGATCCATGGACAACCATGGGCGGGTCCAGAAAAGGCACCACAAGTTCCCAGTCTGGTCTGCAGGACTGGCAGTCTGGCCGCCAGGCTTCAGGCCTTTACTGGCCTGAAGGTGGGGCTTCACTGGGGACCCACCCTGTTTCCCCTCCAGAAGTCTGTCTGCCTCCCAGTACTGTCCATAGCCTCCAGGCTGCTCACACCAATGGGCACCTGCAGGTCAGTGACAAGACACCCTCAGCACCCTCCTTGGTTATCCTTTCCACACTCATGGGTGCCCAAAGCCTGGAGGGTGCTGAGATGACAAGTGGCTGGCATGTCAACACTGCCCAGAGCTGACATTACAGGCATGAGTCTGAGATGTTGCACCTTGGGGGAACTCAGTTTCTAGGCATGGTGGCTCATGCCTCAAATCCCAGCTTTTAGGGGGGCAGAGGTAAGAAGATAGCTTGAGCCCAGGAGTATGAGACCTGCCTGGGCAATATAGTGAGACCCCATTCTCCACAAAAAGGAAAAATTTTACTTCACAGTTTCCAGGTGAGATTTCATCAGAGCAGGTCCTGGAAGTTTCCACCATCCTGATGACAATATGGCAGGGGTGGTGACCACCAAGACATCTTCAGAAGTGGCCCTACCTTTTCAAAGAGCAGACAAAGGCACCACCAGCCACATACATTTCTGGCCAGAAAAGCAACACCCCAAAGATCCTGTAACATTTTGGGGGCTCATCCAGGGTCTGTGGAAAGGTAAATAAAAGTGGATCTGCTTTTACTGTCCTTTTTTTGGAGTCTCTAAATTCCACAACAGTCAAAATGAAAGAAAAATACTGGACCTTTGTCAGTCAGTTAAAAGCGACTAGCACAGCTACCAGGACTCAAGACATGGAGAACAGACTTTCTGGGGAGGACATTGTCAATCCTCCATCACCCTCAGGTGTTGAGAATGTTGGCTTTGTTTCAATCCAGTTTCTTTTCATGAATATCTAGCTGTCACATAGGACTGAAAGAAAATCTTGGCGCAACTGAGGGTATCTGGCCAAGGCTACACCTTGTGTTATCCAAAGGCCTGTGGACTAACTCCAGTCTCCGAGTGCCCATTAGGGTGTTGGCACTTGGACCTCAGTTTTTCCTATCATTCTTTCTTTCTTTCTTTTGTGGTTGTCAAGGTTCCCATCTCTTCTTTATATACAATTTTAAATGTTAAAGATGTTGTTGCAAACCAGAGATATTACTGGGTAGAATGTGGAATTGGCTTAGTCATCAAAAGTATAAAATGGAAAGTTAAGAACACCACAGACAAAGCAAACTGTGCATTGGCATCTGCACATAAATTTGTGGCAAACATGTTTTTGCCATTTCCTTTGCTGTCAACTTAGTGTCAAGCACCTTGAAGTATCAAACAGAAACATGGCCTCAGGAAGAAATCTGTTCTGTGAATGTGAGGGCAAATGGTCCAAGGTCCCATATGTGCAGGCCTTCTTTGCCTTGCAGGGCAATTCGGACCTTTGTCAAGATTGTAGGATTAATTAAGCCCTCCTAGTGGACATCTCAGGAGAGGCTGCAAGAGAAAGTCCCAGGGAAATAGGGAAGCAAACCCCAGAGGTGCCTCCAGCAGGGGAATCAACCTCCTTTGCTCTTTCCTATGCGGGTTCTCTCTTAAGCTTGCCCCAGCCTAAAAATCTTTGTTTTAGGCAGGTCCCAGTCTCAACTGCTCCAATAACAGATGCCTGGTGAATATGGCACCATTAAGGTCCAGGTTCCCTTTTCAAATTAAAGGGGGTCTTGGCAAGTTTCCAGATGGTCCTGACAGGTATATAGAGGCTTTCTAGAACTTAAACTAAGTGTTTGAGCTCTCCTGGAAGGATTCATATTACTTTTGAGTCAAACCCTGACCACCACTGAAAAGCAGGGAATCCTGCAAGTGGCAGAGAAGTTTGGAAATGAACTTTATATCTTATACAGGGCCACGGATGGGGAGGAGTTGGAAGAATGGCAGTACCATTGGAGGACCAGTTGGAAGAATGGCAGTACCACTGGAGGACCCAAAATGAGCCCCCAGTGATAAAATGAGAGAAAGGAGGAGGAAACACTTTTAGGTTTGCACACTAGAAGGCTTACAAGGGACTGGGTCCAGCCTCTCAATAGAACTGAGCGATCCATGGTAGACCAGGGATTTGATGGGAGTCACACATTTGATGGGAGTTCATCAGGGGGCTGGAGGGGCATTGGTGAAGTGTGATTCTCCATCTCCTGATTTGATTAAGGGACAGCTGGTTCTAGGGGATGAGTTAATCGCACAGGTGGCCCCTGATGTCAGGAGGGGCTGCAGAAATGGGATGTGGGACCAGATGGTACTTTGGAGGGCCTGCTGGGAGTGGCCTCTTCAGTATTTCGCAGTGGGAACCATGAGGAAATCCAGAAAAGAGAGGGGAGATACAGTAAAAAGACAGAGGCTTCCAGTAACCACCTTGTGGACTCATGGACCCCAGAGTCCCCAAGATGCATTTGTTGATTGCTGCAAATGTGGTAGGAGGGATTGTCTAGACAGCAGGAGGAGGCCAGGTAGTGGGGGCAGGCATCCCTGAGCCTGTGAAGATGGTGGCATGGGGTCCTTTCTGGGTCCCCAAAAGTGCAGACTGCAGAGAAGTCTGGATTCTGCATCTGGGAGGGCAGCTGCAGTGGCTCCTAGGGAAGGCGAGGCTCCTGCCCAAGCAGTGGCATGGGAAGTCCGGGTCAGCCTCCCTGCTGCAGCTGGCATCTTGGCAGCAGTCACTCTTGATGGGCCATTGCTACCATTAGTTCTGTCTGCAATAATGTGAAATAGAATGAAACAACAACAAAACCCCAGGATATAATTCTCAAGAGTTGACAAAGAAATACAGAAGTCCTTAGAGAATAATGATGGTCTTCTAAATTCTAACATCCAAATCCTGCAAATTGTAATCCTCCCAAATCCATTCACAATACAGAAGAGAAATTAACTTTCCATGGTGTATACCCCCAGAGTAACTATGACACAGACAATTAGCACAAACTTTAACTTTCATTTAACTGAGAACATTTACACCCAGGGTCATCAGAATAGGCGGAGAAGCCCAAACCAGAGCAAACAAAACCATAAAAAAGTAGTAGGCCAAACAGTTCCTGAAGCTTATAGAGTGTTGGGGACAGTTTGTGTGTCCATAAGCCAAGTTTGTGTGTCCATCAGCCAGCAGGATAGACCTGGACATTAAAAAGAATACTCAGAGGCCAGTTGTGAT